CTTTCGACGTGCTTGCGCTTGGAGCCCGAAGCCCCATGTGAGCTAGAACCAGCATAACAGATGTCGGTTTCTGGTTTCGCCGCCATGAGGCGATCGTCTTCTAACTGAAGATGGCACATGGAATCTTCAAAGGTCTTGATGTTCTCATTATGGGTCAGGTGCACCTTCATGTGCTCCCAGCTATAAGGCAAGGAACGGATCACTGCTTGCACTTGCTGTTCATCAGTCAGAATGTGTCCAGCATCCTTCAGCTCAATGATCATGTTCGACATCTTTCTCAGGTGTTGTTTCATGGACTAACCATGAGACTTCTTATACGAGTCAAATCTTATAGTGAGCTGTCTCAGCTTGATCACCGACGTATGACCAAATCTTGCTGCTAATGCTTCCCACATTTCCTTGACATTCTCAAAACGCCTGAACTCTCGCATGATATCATTCTCCATGCTACTCAGCAACGTGATGCGAGCTATCGAGTTCTTCTTCTTCCATGCAGCAAATGCATCTCTATCTCTCTTATGCTGCGCATTGTTCCAATCCTCAGGTTCTTTCATAAGTTGGTTAAGAGCTTCTAGTGCTTATTGTTCTTCTAGCACATATTGGATTTTCATGTTCCATATTTCATAATTTTCGCCGTTCAATTTCTCTCCTTTGTTCAATTCAGCCACTATGTTCTTAGTTGCTGAAGCCATGGTATCTGAACATTTCAAATATATAGCACGAATTATTAATGCCACTCATTTATGCATCAGTTTTACACAAACTAATTATATTAATGAGTAATTTCACATAGGTTTTAGATTCGAAAGTTCACTATGTTCCCAATCATCATCTAAAATCCTAATGTGAAATTATCGTTAATATAATCATTAAGGTAAAATTACGTTCTTTAAAGTTACTAAAACTTTTAGAACTCCCACTCAACCACATGATATTAATAAGACAGATATTATAATATAATAGTATCATAAACTATTCATAACAGAAAATATCCATCAACATCTATTCATAAAAAAAAAATATTTACATGAGGAACGAATCCATCATAGGAAAGAAACATGAATATCAACATGAATAGTAATATCCACCTAGGATATCTAAAACCAAACTAAAATAAAATAAAGTCAACGATTCCTAACTTTCCTAACAACTGGGAAAAGACTTAAGAAATTCCTCATTGTCAAAACCCTTTGAAATATCGATGGTCATATCGGGCAGCCATGAAAAGACCGTCGAAAATCCCTTGGGTTTTCCCCATGGCGCGTTCATTCTACGCCAGGATGAGTTCATCCCAAGGGTTGACGTCTTTTTCGCCTCAATCCTCATGAATTCCTTAAGAAAATCCATAGCAAACTTTTTGTATTCTGGAATCCATGGATCACCCCCGTCATCCCATCCACCATCCTCATAAAATATTATCTCCGGACCCTTCCACAAATCATCAATCAGCATTTTCCATTCATATGGAAGAGTGGTTCTTAGGGCATCAATCTTTTCTGAATCCAACATATGGTATCCATTCGAGATGATATCCCGTATCATCTTGTTAACCTTCATGATATGCATTTCCATGTGACATCCATCCCACCGATAAGCAGCTAAATCAGCTTTCAACTTCGCGAGAGTATTCTTTTGTTCATCCATCCTCATGACTATCGGTGTTTGTCAATGGCGCGCCTTTGTTCCTGTAGCAAATGCAGAACAATAAAGGATTAACACATAATCCATTGAACATCACAATAGACATTCCAATATGGACATATCGCTGCCGAAAACGCTCCAATTGGAGCTTCCACGCAACTAATCACGCGAATAGAACCCTTTTTTTTTTGGGGTCAACGCAGGTCAACGATGGTCAATGCCGGTCAACGGTCAACGGATGACCGAGTCAGGTCAACGAGTCAGCAGGGTCGGGTCACAGGTTAGAAATCGGGTTGGATCGGGTCAGGCCTGCCGGGCCAGGCCTTTCGGCCTAGAAGAAAAATAACCGGCATGGTTGACGTCACCGTGATGTCAACCACGCCCACACACGCACGCATGGCGCGTGCGTCGCATGTGTGCGCGGCAACCGCTGTGTACGTGCGACGCACGTGCCGGCAAAGTCGCCGCTTGCGGCGGCGTATTCGGCCTCTCTCGGCGGCTTGCCACCCGCCGTTTTGCTCGTCTCAACGAGCACTACGACCCTATGCTTTCAAAAATAAAATTTATCGCACGAAATTTCGAGAAACGATCCCGAACAGTACGGTCGAATGTTAGGTTTTCGTACCCGAGCGTTCGTTGGCGTCGTTTCACGAATTTCGGCCAACAATCCGTTTTATAAACATGTTAAACGATCAGGAAAGAAGAACACATGCTCTAATACCAATGAAGGAAACGGATTCCCAGAAATTGCGAAAAAACGGGAAACACATTGCAAAACGCAGAAAACGTGCCCATTCTATACTTGAATCACCAATCGAACGAAGCATATTATGTAAACGAACATACCTCTTTGCCATAGATTAAATGCACCTATTGCAGCTTCGAGAGATAGAGCGATCCTTCGATTGTCGAGTAAATTCGCTTTTTGGTTTCAAGTAAGTAAAAGTTTCTGATGGTGAACCAAATCCACTTGCAGAACACACGTCAGTGTTTTTCTTCTTCTCACTTTTGTTCCCCCAAAATAATTGCCATTTGCGGTTATTTTCTTTCATGGGCTCTTTCAAGGTTAATGGGCTGGGTTAGCCCATCATAGGTGGCCCATTAATTCACTAAACCCATCACTGTGTATCGCAGAAAAAATGAAAGTAAGAGATAAATTATTGATATGAATCTGTCGTAGCTGTGGCCTTCAAATTTTGACTTAGACTCTTATAAAAGGAAAAGACTTGGGACTCGATGTGCATTTTAACATTGACCGTCGTGCATTTGAATGTTGGCAAACCGCCCTTCTGTTTGGTATTTTATTTTGACTTATCTTAGAAAACTATTATTAGAAGTGACAAATCTAAATTAACGGACAAATTATAATGGAGATGTACTTCGTTCTCTTTCGGGAAAATTTCAAATCAATACCCAAAGTGGGGTCATTTTCTCAAAAAAAGGTCCAAAGTGAACATAGTGCCAAATAAGGGCTTAAAGTGGTAAATCAGTCTCAAATAGGGGCATGAAGTGCCCAATTAATCTCAAGTAAGGACCTGGGTTCGCCGGCCGGTCAAATGCTCACCGGCCGGCAAGCACGTCACAGTTCCGGCGACTTAAATAAGGGCAATTTCGTCTTTTACTTTTCAAATTTTTTTGTTTCTTTTTTCTTTTTTCTGTTTTTTTCTTTTCCTTTTCCTTTTCTTCTTTTCTTTTTCCTTTTTTCCCCCTGCCGGCCATAGCCGGGGCCGGCGGAGATTGCCCTCGCCGACGTTAGGCGAGGGCGACCCTCGCTAGATCCGGCGAGAGCAACCCTTACTCTCTCCGGATCTAGTGAGGGTTGCCCTCACCCACCCAGTCCAAGCGAGGGCGGCCCTCGCCAGACGCCGGTGAACCCAGGCTCTTACTTGAGATTAATTAGCCACTTCAAGCCCCTATTTGAGATTGATTGGGCACTTCAAGCCCTTATTTGGCACTATATCCACTTTGGACCCCTTTTTGAGAAAATGACTCCACTTTAGATACTGATTTGAAATTTTCCCTTCTTTTTCCCTTTCAAATAGATTTTTGTATTGAAAGCCGCAAGCCGTATCAGAATAAGCCATTTAATAATCTGGTCAGTGTAATCCTCCGATTGTGACTACTACAACGCCAGCAAATGATCCACCATAGTGTTCTTGCTCTCTGAACCACCATTTTTATACCTTTATCGGTGTTCTTCAATCAAATTTTGCAAGAACTCGTCCGTTCTCTTGTTCAGCCTCAACATACTCTTCTCGAAACCCCTGTAGACCTAACTCAAAACCCCCAAGAAGTCCCCTAGATTCGAATACCTGCCGTATCTCACGATCTCCTTCACTATGTCCCGAAACGACGCTGCCTCCTTGACATTGCTCATGTCGTCACCGTAGTATCTCTTCCAAGCCACCATCCACACTATGATGTTGATTTTAATTTGGCAATTTTAATTAACTTTTTGGCCTTATATTTGTTCAATGGGCTTGGCCAGAATTCCATGTTCTTATGGGCTCAGTCCAGCTTATTAATTAAGACAAATCACCTTTACTTGAGTCCATCCACCGCCGATCCAATGCAATTTTTATGGATTTATTTAATGATGCAAAATGCTCCTAAAAACTATATGCTACGCAATTTAATTTTAATATTTTTGTTTAGGGGTTAAAGATTAATCCCTAATTTTCTATGCAACTAGTTCTAAATGATTGGCCAAGATTAAGGTGTCAACAACATATCTGCTCTAAACATGTATGACAAGCAATGTTTCCTCGAAGAACAAAGAGTTCCGACGTTCGAGTTGCTCTATGAAGTCTCATGATTCGTTCAAACATTTTTATCTCCAAACTACCTGAGGTGAGTTCCAGGAATCCCTTCAATTTACCTAAGGTGAGTTCTAGGTATTTCTCGGATAACTAAGGTGAGTTCTTCAAGGGCACCTTGCAAGATAAATGACACAAAATAACTTTTTTCAATAGTTGGCAACTGTCACGCCCCGAACTCTACGGTACGCGACAACCCTACCGCGGTCGATTTATTGCGACGTCCCAGGACGCGTCGTCGACCCAGAACCCAAAACAGAGAACAAGGCACACGCGGAAGCAACAATACACCCGTACAAATAAAACACCATGACCAAGGGTAGCACAAATAACAAACAACATTATAAATATACACTTGCATTAACATCAGGGAAACATATACAATATCCATTACGCAAAATACATAATAAACCAAAAGCGGGTCAACGACCACTACTGACAAAAAGGGGTAGGTGGCCCGGGCGGTCAGTCTAAACACTAACCTAAGGAAGGGCTCCGGTCAAAAAGGTATCGGCCCAACCTAACTAGGGTTACGGCTAAACCCTAAGGTACCCAGTCCGGGTCAGATCCCGAGGACTCGGAAGAACTGTCAGACAACTTGGCCTCGGAGTCTATGGAATCCAACTCGGACTCGGCCTCTGCAGACTCGTCCTCAGAATCGCCCTCCTCTGGCTCGCCCTCCGGCTCAGGGTCTTGCTCCATCGGCTCCGGCTCACCATCCGAATCCATAGGCTCCGGGTCAGAATCCCAATCCACCGGCTCCTCATCCATCGGGTCTGACTCGTCGGCCTCCCAGATGACGGGTCCATGTCCATCGTCAGAATCCTCTCCGAATGAGGCCTCGGGGTTCGCCAGATCTCCATCGGCACACTGGGGATCTATATCACCTAGCCCGTTGAACGGGACATCAAAGGTCCTAAGAGGTCCGAAAGTCCCGAAGTAGTCCCTAAAGCACCAACCTATATACTCGTGGGCCTGAAAGTGCTGCTCGCCCACGTCAACCCATACGGTAGTAAAATGTCTAATATACGTATCCCCGTTCCCTACGGGGTACTCGATCACCTCCCGGTCTATCCGGGACGGGATCCCAAAACGGATAGGCACATCTGACATCCTCAAGGCCGGGGGTCTGAAAATGTGGGTTTTAAACAACCGTGAGAATAAATCTCAGCAAGTAAGCCCTCTAAACCTAAACTAGGCTAACATGCACCTCCCGGACAAGCATTAACTAAACAAACAGCCAAGCAATCACATGACTTAGGCCCTCGGTCCAAATCCAACATATTACTGACTCTGCAGGTTAGGCACATAATAATCGCAATAATGGCACAGAACACAACCACGACACTTACACACATATCACATAGCCACGACGTATGTCATGCACATGCTCATACTCATACTCATGCTCATGTCTCATCGATGCACTTTCGCACACTTGCACTCTTGCATACTTGCAATTTACCAAATTCACCGACCCTCGTAAAATGCATCAGGTCCGACCCGCGTAAAACGCATCAGGTCTATCACTTTGAAATCGATCTCCGGCCCGCGTAAAACGCATCAGGCTCATGACACAACCCGCGTTAAACGCATCAGGTTTGCCATCTTCCGGTAGTCCGGGCATCGTCCCGCGTAAAACGCATCAGGACGGGTTCAATACCCCGCGTAAAACGCATAAGGGCTTATAGTGATCACACGTATACACACACCCGATTTTATCTGAACCCCGCGTAAAACGCATCAGGGCGATTAGGTGATCACATGCTCATGTCAGGCACGCATACTCGCACAATTCTCGTACCATGCCAATGCTCAGCATACGAAATGCATGTCCATGAAATTCCGGCACTCGGGCAACCATATGATCCACAATGAGCATCCAATTTCCAAGCATAATCGCATAATCAAGTGAAGCTACAACATACTCAATTTGTGCCTTAGCATGCTCACTTAATCACAACATGTCCAAAGCCACAATTTAACATGCTCAATTAATCGATTCAATCCAATTCAAGCACGACACATAATTCACGCGACTAGGACAATATAATTATGCACACTCGAGGCCCGCCATGCTACTCCATTCTCGGCCACTCTAGGGACACACCATATGGCATCACAACATTCAAAAGGACCAATCACAATTCAGCCAATACAAGGACACTCAAGACCCGAACAGCAATTTCACGATTAATCCCACAACTTAGCCAAATCTTGTCCAATTGAATCCACGTTTGCCGGTCACAACACAGCCCACTCTAGGGCACTAATCCGCCTCCAAATCATCCCATTGGGTCAACCAAATCACCACAACATCAGCCACAACAACCAGCCACTAATTACCCCTAAATTTACCCTAATTAACCCCTAAATTAACCTAAACCTATCTAAAAATGCAAATCAGCCTAATTAGGGTTTAGGGTTAATACTCACCCACTCCTAAGCTCCAACTAGTGGGTTGAACCGGTAGGAAAAATGGGCTGGACGGCGGCGTTCAAGCCGGGCCGACGGCGGCGACGGCGGCTTCCACGGCGGTGGTCGGTGGCGGCGACGGGGGGCGGCGGTTGGTCCCAAACGGCGAGGAAGGGCTGATGGTGATGGTGGTGGGGCGAAAATGAGAGGGTGAGAAGGAGAGAACAAGGTGAGGGCGGCGCGGCCTTGGCGAACGGTTTCCGGCGAGCGGCGGCGGCGGCGCTCCGGCGTGGCTCTCACGGCCAAGGGGAAGGAGGATGGGAGAGAGGGAGTTGGCGTGAGGGAGGGGAAGGAGTGGCCGGAGGTGATGGTGAGAAAAATGAGGGGAGAGAGAGAGAGAGTGAGAGTTTATGCATTATTGGTCTTAGTGGGGTTGGTAAACTACTTCTCCCAAAATGACCATCTTGTCCTCAATCCAAGCGCTAGGATCAAATCTTGCTAAACTATCCAGGGGTAGATTGGTCTACTAATTTTAGCAATAATAGGGCTGATTAGGCTAAATTAAACCCCAAAAATTTCGGAACCCATGCATGGGTTTAGGGACAAAACGGTAATTTTCCGGTCCCGGGCCAAATTTCCAATTTTTGACCCTACCGATCCCAAATATAATTGGCCACACTAATACGACGTCGTCCTTGCAAAAATAGTCGCTTACGTCCATGAAATTCGACACCGAAGTCCGGACTCGATTTCACGATCGATTTTGCTCAAATGCGATTTTAGCGTCTCTCACTGACGGGCGGCTGTTTAGGGGTTACTCGTATCGACCTAGGGTTACTCGAGTCGTGATGATCTCGATTCCCAAGAGAGCACGAGGATTTATCGCTAGTTCCGGGGGTCGCGATCGTTCGGAATAAGTTCGGGATTGTTCGCCACGCGCACTCTCGGTCGTGCGGAATCACCCGCGATCCGATCGTACGTCGTTGGCCAAATCAAATCCGTCACTCTCCTTGGATCGGCCCACATTGGCACAAAATATTTCCGCGTCGTTTCTCGGAATCGGACTCAATTCACGGTCGAGTTCTTGGGTCCACGTACCGTTTTCCTAGTTAGCCATTCCCTATTGGTCAGTGTCCCGAGAATGATCAGTTCCGGGCGAGATTTACTAAAATGAAATGAGAAATAAATATCCATATCATAATCTCGAAAGTCAGTCGAATTCAGGACGTTACAGCAACTAATCGAAGGGAGAGGGGGTGGTGAGCAATTGGAATTGTAATGGCAATCTTACACATGGCACATATTCAACCGTGCGTTGAACGTTGATAATAGATAATGATAGCGTATGCAAACAAGACCTGCTCACCTTGGTTCCTCTCCCATCGCTACATGTGAACTTATCTTCGTGATTTTTGACAATTAAATCAAATTTACGAGCTTCGATTCCCGATTAAGTATGTCAGAGTCCAGGTGGCATCCAGGTGGCACAAAAAATGAGCCAGATGAACATTAGCCACATTGAAAGAAAATTATTAGCTTTGCCTCGTGGATATATAAATCCAATCCATCAGATTTGCCTTATTAGGTGAAATTTACGTGTGGGACTCACAAGATTCAACGAATCATGTACTGTGCCTCCTATACCGGGTATAGTTAATAACTTCCCCAAACTGGCATAGGGTGTTGGCCTCAAAATATTAGTTGCTCCGGATGCAAATGAGCTTAGTTGATCCAAGCCACCCAATCATGTTGATGCTAGGTGGTTCTGAAGCTAAAAGCTAGCATAGGCACTTTTTGAATGGCTGGTTACTGAAGCAAGAATAGTCGGATACCTCGAACAGCAAGTGTTGCCGATGAGGAAAGCCCAATATCAGAAGAAAAAACAGTCTGTCCTGGGAAATAGGGCGTCCACAAATGGATCCTAAACCTTCCGTGTGAAAGGACGTTTGAAAATTGAAGAAGACAACGCAAGCATCCATAGAATGAGCTTTTCACGACGTCCATAGAAAAAAAGAGTGATTTATCGCATTGGTGGTACTTATATCCACAGAGTTATCCACTGAGTAAATGAATATAAGCAACGTACTACACGATGCGACAAATCGAAAGCGAACATTTGAACAAATAAACACTATTCGATAATTAATAACAGTTTGTCACATGATTTAATTGACTAATAAGTCTCAACACACACTCATTTTTAATTAAGATTTTACATCTAGCAAGTTTCATCATATCTCACGATTGATAAAGACATAAAAACAGTTGTACAAGCAATGCATCCACCGTAACTTAATGAACGATTATCTTGGCCGTGATGGTACGTGGTCTGCACATGGCCTCCAAGGGCACCACCCTAGGCATAGTCACGCCTCTTCCTTCAGTCATGTCCACCAATTCCTCGCTCACCCTCTTCCATTCAAAACACTGAACCAACGACCCTAAAGTTAAGCTCACTACCCGGTGAGCTAAGCCCTATCCAGGACATGCCCGCCTTCCAACCCCAAAGGGCAACAGCTTGTAAGGCTCAACTTCACCATTTTCAAACCTCTCTGGCCTAAAACCCTTCGGGTCATCCCACAGTTTCGGGTCCCTATGAATGGCCCATGCGTTGACCAGTACCGTGGTGTCACGAGGGACATTGTATCCACCTATGGAGCAATCCTCGGAGGACATGTGAGGGACTAAAAGTGGAACCGCCGGATGTAATCGCAAAGTTTCGGATATGATGTTTTGTAGATAGGGAAGCTTGGAAGTGTTTGGTTCATCTATCAATTGTTGCTCACCAATTGCATTATCGAACTCCTCGGCAGCTTCTTCAGAGTGTGAGGATGATTTAGTAACTCCGACATCGCCCATTCAAGCGTCACAGCTGTGGTGTCGGTGCCGGCTAAAATCATAACCTATGTATTGTATAAAAAAAATAAAATAAGAGATGTAGATATGGCATCAAGCAATCCTATATTAATTAGAGCCCCCATTCAAAAATTTTGATTTGCATCTAACCCGATTCATGATAAAGTTTTATATAAGTCCAGGATTTAATTATCTCAATAATTTGTTTCCCAAAAAAAGAGATCTATTTGATAATTGACTTCTAATGATGAATTTTTTTTATAAATTACACTTTCATATGAATAAAAGATTTCATCTTATAAAAGAACTTTTCCTCTTGCCTACCGCACAGTAAATGAATGCAATTGAACGTCATGCATGGAGCCACGTATATCCTTATCTAGTCATCGAGCAAAAGTTGCCCTCAGAAGTCGGACAAGTAAGGGTGCGCATGATAACCATTCTGTTCCAGAATGAGTTCCTGAAACAGAAATAGATTTTTCTATTTCTGGCAAGGATGAGTTTCTGAGAAAAGAAACCCGTTTGATAACGACAAAAAATTTCTATTTCTGGAACAGAAACCCGTTTGATAACAACACAAAATTTCTATTTCCTGAAACAAAAACCCGTTTGATAAACAACACAAAATTCTATTTCTAGGAACATAAATCATTTTTTTAGAAATGGAATAAAAATAATTAGAAAATCTGAAAAATTCATAAAAATCTAAAAAAAAATTCAGAAAATCCAAAAAAATTGAAAAATTCTAGAAAAATTCATCAAAATGTCGAGAAAATAAAAAAAAAATTCAGATTTCGGGAAAATAGGAAATTTATTGAATTTTTTTTAAAAAAAATCAAGAAATCAAAATTTTCAAAACTTCACATAATTGCTTAGAATACCTGTTGCCACCCATTTTTTGAGTAAATTTTAATTTTTTTGAGATGCCCAAAAAAATAAAAAAAATAAAAAACTTCAAAACTTCACAGGATAGCTTAGAATACCCGTGGCCAACCATTTCGAGTGAAATTTAATTTTTTTGAGATTCCCAAAAAAAATCAAAAAATAAAAAATTTCAAAACTTCACATAATGGCTTAGAATACCTGTGGCCACCCATTTTGAGTGAAATTTTAATTTTTTTAGGTGCCGAAAAAAAAATTTCAAAACTTCACAGAATGGTTTAGAATACCTGTGGCCACCCACTTTGAGTGAAATTTAAATTTTTTTAGATGCAAAAAAAAAAATTCAAAACTTCACATAATGACTTAGAATACTTCTGGCCACTCACTTTGAGTAAAATTTAAATTTTTTGAGGTGCCCAAATGGTATTTTTGATTATTTGCTTTTTTAATTTTTATTTCGTCACCTAAAAAAAATTAAATTTCACTCAAAGTGGGTGGTCACAGGTATTTTAAGCCATTTTGTGAAGTTTTGAATTTTTTTACTATTTTTATTTTTTTTCGGCACCTAAAAAAATTTAAATTTCGCTCAAAGTGGGTGGCCACAGGTATTCTAAACCATTCTGTGAAGTTTTGAAGTTTTTTATTTTTTTATTTTTTTTCGGCAACTAAAAAAATTTAAATTTCGCTCAAAGTGGGTTGCCACAAGTATTCTAAGCCATTATGTGAAGTTTTGAAATTTCTGATTTTTTTATTTTTTTTGGGAATCTCAAAAAAATTAAATTTCACTCGAAATGGTTAACCACGTGTATTCTAAGCTATTCTGTGAAGTTTTGAAATTTTTTATTATTTATAATTTTTTTTTGGCATCTCAAAAAATTTAAAATTTACTCAAAAAGTGGGTGGCCACATGTATTCTAAGCAATTCTGTGAAGTTTTGAAATTTTTGATTTCTTGATTTTTTTTTGAAAAAATTCAACAAATTTCCTATTTTCCCGAAATCTGAATTTTTTTTTATTTTCTCGACATTTTAATGAAATTTTCTGGAATTTTTCAATTTTTTTGGATTTTCTGAAATTTTTTTGAGATTTTTAGGAATTTTTCGGATTTCTAATTTTTTTTGTGTTTTTTGAAGAGAAAGAGTTCTCTCAGAAATGATTCTGATTTTTGTTCAAGAAATAGAAAACCTACTTTTTTTTTGTTCTGATTTTTGGTCTAGAATCGGTTCTGGAACAAAAAATTGTTCCAGAAATAGAAAAATGAAATTGCGTTACCAAACGGGTTTCTGGTCCAAAACTATTTCTGGGAACAGAAAACTAGTTTTGGACAGAACCAGAATGATTACCATACGCTACCTAAGTTTCTCATTATTCTGACCTAACCAACAGGGAAATGGAACCCAGGTCACAGAATATTAAATGTGGGAAATGGCCTATATCATCTTGTCAGAGGACAGGAAATGGAGCCCAGGTCACAGAATATTAAATGTGTGAAATGGCCTACATCATCTTTTCAGATGAAAGTTTTAAAGAAAGCATGAAATACCATCATTTTCATAAATAAAAGTCTGAAATGGATTTGTTTAATAAGAGCCTGACTTTCTAAAAGCATTTTCATCATTTACTTTTTTCTGAATTGTTCCCTTTTTTTTTTTTCCTTTTTTTCTTTCTTCACTAGTGATGCTCAGAGACAGGTGGGCGAGGGACGACCTCGCCTAGGCAAGGCATCCCTTGTCCACCATAGGCGAGGTTGGCCCTCACCAAATTTGGGCGAGGGTCACCCTCGCCGGCCACAGGCAAGGTTGGTTCTTGCCAGATTTGGGCAAGGTGGCCGGCGAGAGTTTGTAAGCCCTTACTGGAAAGAGAAAAAAAAGAATAGAGAAAAATTAAAAATTAAAAAATAAATTAAAAAATTTCCTTTGAACGAAAATGCTCCAGCCTCTGATTATTCTGACCTAACTGGGAAATGGAGCCCAGGTCACAGAATATTAAATGTGTGGAATGGCCAAGATCATCTTTTCTATTATCTCCAATGAACTTTCCTCCACGTGAGAGTCCTATTCCTGATACAACCTCAAATAATGGACTCAGTAACGTCAATTATTGGATTTAGTGTGGTACAATTTTCGTTGCTCTATTCAATTTAGGATCATTGACAAATTTTACGAAGTTTATGATTGAATTAGTCGTAGTATAATAGATTTATGACTTTTTGGATAATTATCCCTGATTATTCTTGTATCTATATCTAAGAGATATCCCGAGCAATTTTCGTTTATAGGCCGTCGACCCACCATTTAATTTACCTTCCAAATTAATTACTAAAATCCGCTAGACATCAAGCATCAAGCATGTAAGATAAACAATTACCAGTCTCTTTGTTCATAGGGAAAAAGCCTACTTGATACGTCCAAGAAATTACAATGCTAACTTCATAAATCGGGTAGCTAGTTATGAATTCGGGTGGATGATCTAAGCATGGATATATTAGCACATGATAAGGATCATATAGAAAGAATTTTGGTTATCTACGTACCAGCATAAGCCCTTTAATAATCTGGTCAGTGTAATACTCCGGTTGTGACTCCTGCAACGACAGCAAGTGATCCACCATAGTGTTCTTGCTCTCTAAACCACCACAACCACCATTTCTATCATTTTCTCTGTGTTCTTCAATCAACTTTTGCAAGAACTCGTCCATTCTCTTGCTCAGCCTCAACAGTCTCCTCTCGAATCCCCTGAAGACCCACCTCAAAATCCCCAAGTAGTCCCCTGGATTCGAAGCCCCGCCATAGCTCATGATCTCCTTCACCATCTCCCGGAATGACGCCGCCTCCTCGATGTCGCTCACGTCCTAGCCGTAGTATCTTTTCCCGGCCACCATCCGCACTATGATGTTGAATGTCAATTCGGAGAACATCGATTTCAGCTCCACCTTTGCGAAGAACTCAGCAGACGCTTGATCGCAGGATGATATCTTGTGGAGTTTTAGGAGGAGCCGCTTGATTTCGTCCCTCCGGATGGACAACAAGCCATTGAGGCGGGTGGAGGAGAAGATCTCAAGGGCACAGATGCGGCGTAGGTTGCGCCAGTGGTTGCCGTAAGGGGAGGAGATGACGATTGTGTTGTTGTAGCCGAGGTGCTTGTTGATGAGAAGAGCTGGGCGGCTGGCGAGCACAATGTCGTTAATGGTGAAGCACTCTTTGGCAGCTTCTGCTGACGAGACGATGACCATCCGGCGGGAGCCGAAGTGGAGAGAGAAGATGGGGCCGTAGGTTTGGGAGAGTGCATGGAGGGTGTGGTGGAGGGGGAATTTCAAGAGGTGGAGGTGGCCGATGATGGGGATGGTAGGTGGACTTGGTGGGAGGTTTTTGGGTTGGTTCAGCCATCGCGATAAGAGTTTGAGAGCGATGAGGAGGAAGAGAGCTAGAGCAAAGAAGGTGAGGATGGAGAAAGTTCCATGTCTGATTTGAATTTTGGAAGAGTTTGGACAGGATAAGCAAGATGGATGTACTATGTTCTTTTGCCAGCCACTAATTGATGTACACAAAAATGATTGATGTACTATACTTAGGACATTGGGAAGCAATGCTTTTACGAGTGGGTCACAGAAAAGTATAATTACAAAATGAGTTTTTATTATATCAACTTTTTAGAGATTATGAAGTTCATATAAAATTCAAAGGATTCATCGTTGTCAATGATCACCGTAACTGTGCTTGTAAATGTTACCGTTAGCTGGTACAATAGTCAACTATAGTATTAAGCAAGTTGATGCGACGAGGCAAATTGAAAGTATTTACTAAATGAAGTGACAACGACTATTGCAGTTGACGATCATTGCAATTCATTAATTTGAAACGTATCAAAATTTCTCAACACTAGTCATGGCCAATCATTGGTTTTTGTATTATAATTATGGTTTGATGGGTGACTTTGGTAAGAGTTATTCTGATGTGGACTAAATTAATTGATATTGTAATTTACTATTTTACGGAATTGGTTTTATAATATAAGATTTAAAAATTATTAATTAGTCTCATATGGGACTGGCTAGTGTGAGCCGAGTAAGGCTTGACCCATGATGAGACGACCCGACTTAAAATTCTATAAATAGTGTTCAAATCTCTCCTCTAACCCTGATGTACAAATTATCTCACATAAGGAGCATTCGCTGTTGCAAGGGACAATCTTATTGAGCTAGTAATATCGTCGTTATTCCGTATCAAGAACGATAGATTTCAAATCATGTGCGCAAATCTCTTTTACTCGATTACTATATTCTAGATTCTAGTTATAGAGATCTTGGATATCTCTTTTACTCGATTACTATATTCTAGATTCTAGTTATGGAGATCTTGGGTACCGTTTTCGCGGCCAACAACTTATGTAGAATAATCTAATCTGATTTTTGAGAAAGGCGTGGCTTCATATTCCGCCACCCAAAGTTTTGCTTGGAAATCGCATGCATGGACGCGGATCCAGCTTTCTCTTGGTTTAGTGGAATTACGCGGTGCTTTAAACAATCAATGAAAGTGACTGGATAGGCGTAGATATCTAAGAAGTATCCATCTTAATTATACCTAGACAAGAAATTAAATCCGGTGCCCCCAGTAGCTCCAACTAGTGGCGCAAAAACAATGGCCATTCCACATCCAGGCTCCTGCAATCATATCCCGAGAAAAACAGACAAGCGAACTTACGAAGTCACAGAGTCAGAGATGAATTCTACCAGACAACAATGAAATGCTCAAGATGAAGCCGCATGAAAACATCATTAAGATGTATACGCACCACACAGACATCCTCAATGGTCTCGCTAGCCAAGGGTAGACCTACACAAACACAGAAGATGCTACTTTGAGCCGTTTCCATGGAGTGGAGTAATGTGAAAACCTCCATTCGGAAAACTCTCAGGAGTCAACCTCTCTTAATGCACGAGGCTTATTGATACTCTAATGGAGTACAGCATTAAGCTTGAGAACGAGGAACATTACTCCAGAATGTAAAACATCATTGTCTCCATTTGTTTCATGGAAAATATTTTCCTTATTTTCTGGCGTTTGGATCACTTATGAAAATATGTTAATGGAAAATTTATACTTAAATTTAGAAAAATAATTTTCTTTTTAAAAAATCGAAAATCAATTTTTAAAATATGATTAGATATCGGCACTTGGACTAGAAACTCTACATTTGGGCACAGGAATCCCAATGCTTGCTCCTGTGCTCCTAGCATCATCCCCAGGTTGGGGCCGGGTCCGGTCAGGGTCCATCGAGGCCAAGCCCAAGTCCAAAAAGGCCGGGTCCGGAACCCCAGTGCTCAAGCCCAGGTCCATAGAGGTTGAGCTCGGGACACCAATGCCCGTGGCCGACCTAGGACCCGTGACCCTAGTGATAGTGCCTAGGTCCTTGGCGCTTGGGCCCATGTCCTTTGAGGCCGCGCCTGTGTCCATTGAGGTCAGGCTCGGGACCTTGGGGCCCGAGCTTGGGTCTATCGAGGCCGGGCCCATGTCCTCGGCACCCATGCCCGTGTCCATCAAGGCTGGACCCGGCACCTTGGTGTCCTTGCCTAGCCCAGACCCCAGTGCCCATGCTCGAGTCCCCGACGCCTAGGCCCATTGGGTCCATTTACGATGGGTCCGTGACGCTAGTGCCCACCCCGATCAATCAAGGCTAGGCTTGAGACCCACGTGCCTACGTCTAGGTCCATCGAGGCCCGACTCGTGTCCATTAAGTTCGGGCCCGAGACCTCAATGCCTGAACCCGAGCCCCCATTACCCATGCCCGAGTCCATTGAGGTCGGGATTGAGACTCCGAAGTCTGTGCCTTGGTCCCTGGTGCCAGGGTCGGGGTCCATCGCGGCCGGACCTAGGACCCTAGTGCCTATATCTGATTTCTCGACTGCTATATGTGCAAGTCACTAGCGCCCAAATAATCGATGTTTATTTAGAAAAATCAAATCAGATTTTTCTTATTCAATGATGACAAATATTTTTCAGTTCATTTTCAGGTTTCAGCCAAATATTGAAAAATATTGTCATTTTCCTAAAAAAATGTTTTTCAAAAAAGTCATAATTTTCAAACGGAGCCTTAATGCTAATGATGCTGGTGCAGAGGACCAATTCTAGAATGATGTATATGTGCCCGAACAACCATGTGCCGTCGAGCTTAGCTGTTGTATAATGCAGAGGCCAAGCTATTATTCCTTTCTCGTCTCATGTCTGCGCTGAAGTTGTCTTATTGTAAGCACAAAGACTGCCACATAATTGAACAATCTCCAGTGACAAAAGTTGTTGGAGAGTTCCTTGATGTTCCTTTTTAGCAGGGAAAAAGAGAGAGAGAGAGGAAAAAGAGAAAGTTCTGGCCAGCAGCAATGTTCTGAGAACAAGTCCTAAAGCTTCGTCGCCCTCTTCAATCCAATCAGCAACTTGATTGGTGACAAAGTGTAGAGTAATTAACCTTGACATTTTGCAGGATATGTATCTTTTATGAGTAATGCTACATAATTGAAGTGGTATACTAAGCGGTGTAACAAATCGTAAGCGATCATATGAACAAATGAACTTAGTTA